AATCATGGAATATTTGCATCTTTACATCAGGGAATCAATCACTGCATCACAGTAATGGAGTAATGGAATTAAACTAATAGTGGGATCATTGCAATTGCACCACAAGAGTCATGGAATCACACAAGCAAAAAATCAGAAAATAATCCAGTATAGAATCAGGGAATTGTAGAGTCATAAAAGCATGGAATCATTGTATCATAGACTTAGAGAATCATGGAATCATGGATCCAAGGAATCATAGACCCAGGGAATTACAGGGTCTTAGAGTCGTGGATTCATTGCAACATCCAGAGATGGATTCACACAATCACAGAGCCAGTGCATCATAGAGTTATGGAATCATGGAATCATAGAATCATGGTATCAAAGAATCATGGAATCATTCATTATATAATCAGACAATCATAGAAACATGAAATCATAAAGTCATAGGATTGTAGAGTCACAAAATCATTGCATCAAAGAGCAATAGAATCAAAGAATGAGGAAACCATGGAAAACTTGCATCATAGGAGCATGGAAAACTACACTCAGATAAGCAGATTAATTCGATAATAAATCAGAATCAGGGAGTCATGGAGTCATGGAATCAATGCATCATGGACCCAAAAAACATGGAATTACAGAATCACAGAATAATCGAATAATTAAATAATATAATCAGGTAATCATAGAATATGTCAGAATCATGGAGTCATAGACTCAGAAACAGTGAATCACAGGATCGATCATAGAATAATAGAAAAGTAATATCAGAGAATGGTAGAATAAGTGAATAATTAAATCAGAATCAGGAAGTCATAGTGGCATAGACTCATAGAGGCCTATAATGGGAGAATTTTGGAATGATGGAATCATTAAATGGTAGAATAATGACATCATACAATCCTAGCATCAAAGAATCATGGAGGCACAGAATTGGAGAATTATGGAATTCTTGCAAACCTGCGTTTTATTCCCAGTGTCCCCATGCACAAGGCTGACCACTGGTCACACAGTCACTTAAAACTGCAATAACTAAGGAGGAAAACGAGTCACTTATACTTTTTTTTAAATCTGCAGAAAGCTCTTGTTTGCTGCAAAGACAATAAAAATACTCATTTTATCTTTGAGTTTATAGATGTGACTTTGTGAACCGCAAAACATTCCACTTTTTAGCTATGCAACTTCTTTTCCCACAAAGGCATTTTGTGGAATTCTCTCTGAGTCTTTTGAGGGAACTGTAGATATTTTTTCCAGAAATCATGGTTACTTAGAAGAACCAGAATATCATTATTTCACATTGAATTTTCAAACATACCTTTTAACTCTGCACAAGAGTAAAACATGCTTGGGATTTTTTTCCATTTTTTATTTATTAACAGTTTCTAATGCCACAAGTGAAACAGATCGATTCTTGTTTGCTTTTTTTTTTTAATTTTTTTTCAGTAATTTTGAATTTCCCTGGAACAATAGGAATAAAGGGAAGGACTTGAGAATGAGCATGGAACTAGAAAAAGATAATGAGAATGACACCACACTGCCAACATTCAAGTGCAAGGTGGTAACAGAGCAGCATGAAGCTATAAGAGGAAAAAATATTACAAGGGAGGAAAACATAAAAAGTATTTTTATAGAGTCATAAAAACATGGAATCATTTTATTACAGACATCCCAGATATTTTCTCATTTAACATTGTGTCTCTTTATTAATTCCTGTTGACTAATTTCTACTGACTTCAAGGGGGCTTGTGCTTTTTTGGTGGGGGTTTTTTGGGTTTTTTTTTGGTTGTTTTTTTGGTTTGTTTTGGTTGGTTTTTTGTTTGTTTATTTGTTTGTTTGGGTTTGGGTTTTTTTGTCCCTTATCAAGGTATCAGCAGCTTTTTTTGCAGAAATTGCTAAATTAAATGACAACACATCAAGTAATTATCTCATATGCACATATATTGTGGACTTAAAAAACACTTTCAGTATGGTTAGCCCCAACTCATACTCTTCCCTGCTCCTTTTAGTCAGGGAAATTTGAACTGGGATTCAATTAATCAGACTCAGCTTTGATTTGTCCCCATATACGTCTGAACCTAAGACTCTTTTTCAGGCCTTTACAGTCAATGCAGTAAAGTATTTTTGGAGTTATTATAAAAATTCCATAATTATTTATTATGGAAATACTATAATGACATCATTATATATATATATATATATATATATATATATAATATATATATATATTATATATATAATATAATATATATAATATTATATATTATATAATATTATATATAATTTTTATTGTTATAATATATTTTTATTATATATTATAATATTATAATATATATTATAAGTTATTATAATATACATAATTATATATATAATAAAATCCATAATTTGGACTTCCAAGTGCAATTAGATTTCTTTGCAGCCTGAGTAGTATTTCTTGCTTTCAATCTGTGCAAATCCTGGAAGGCTGCAAGTTTTGTTTCCACATGTTCAGGTTAAGTAGCATGAGACTGAAAAAGTTATATACCTGCACGATTTAACAACAAAACTACACAGATGACAGATTAGAATTGCTGAATTTTAAATCACAGCACTTTTGGGGAGTTTTGGATTTGCCAGAATGTTTTCATTAGCAGAAGGCAGCATTCCTGGGTTCAGGACAGTAGCAGCTGTGAAGATGAAGACAAGAATCAGTACTGACAAGGAGGTGGCAATCCAGCTCTCCAATCCCAGTCCTAGATTTCAGAGGCAAAAAATGTCACTTATCACCTGTGCCCCACATGGAATAAACAAAATATATACACAGGAGAGCACTACTCAGCTGAAAATGTCAGGGAGGGAGCAGAGGAAATAAAGCTGGTAAATAAATTAGAGGCTGAATCAAAGAATACTAAAAAAAAAAAAGTAGCTTAACAGATTGCAATTGATTATGGTAAGGAACAAATCCATATTTTGCAGTATACTTCAGTAATTCTGATGTCTGCAGATCACCAAATGTTTACACAAATAACAGCAACAAACATGGCCATGAGCATACCACCTTCTGCCTAGAGTATGAGAACATATAACCAAAGCAAAAAGAAAAATTCCATTAAAAATACACAACAGAACAACATTTTTGGGACATAAGAGCTTGAATTACATGTTAGTCTTCAAAACTATAGTATTAGCTTCATGTCTGTAAGTGCCTTTAATTAGTACAGTTATTCAATTTTAGAAGCACTCTGTAATAGTAATAGTACATGGTCATGTACATGATATCAGTTTTCCCCTGATAACTTGAATTTCATGTAAGTGTTTGGAAGGTTTTTTTGTTTTTGTTGGGTTTTTTATTGGTTTTGGGTGGTTTTTTGAAGGGGGATGGTGGTGGCAGGGGACAGGAGTGAAAATGAAACACAGAGTCAAGACACCCTGTGGTTACCTAAAACAGCAGTACAGAAAAAAAAAAAAAGGAAAATATTGCACTTTCACATATGGATGTTTTCCCATTTTCTTTCTCCTTCTTATTTGGAAAATGAGGAAGGGATGAGCAAAAAGGTTCCTCTTTTCCTGATGGAAAGCTGTAAATAGCCAGAGTCTCTGACTTGATATCCTGCTTCATCCCTTAGCAGATAGCAAGGGGGTGCAAGAATCTCAGCCCTTCATAAAATATTTTTTGCAATATTTCCTTTAATAGAATGGTAAATCTGAAGTGCATTAATATTGTCTATTAACTGCTGTTACTACATTCACTAAAACTTTTTGAAAAATGCCTTCAGAAATAATTTCTTCACCAAGTTGAGTGTACTTACACCATCGCATGAACATTATATGATTCTGATTTCTTTACTTAAAAGAGAGATCCAAAAGATTTTTATTTCCTTAGGCATAGGAAACAAAATAAATACATAAGACTTGTTTGAATAGAAGGGAAAAAACAAACTCAAAGACACTAGAAAAGAGTTCATGTCCAAAAACCTTTATTCATATTTAAATAAAAATGCAAAATATTTCAAAATAAACGTTGCCTAACGTAGAAGCTTGTACTTAAAGGTTCTAGTTTACAGGTATTTTTCTTTTCTCTCCAGCTTATATCAAGACCTTTAACATGACATTCAAGACTGTGCCTTACTAGAGAAAACTAATCAAAATAATTCAGTCTCTTCTGAAATAAAGGCTGGCAAATAATATACTGCTTTGCCTAGTACATTGTAATAGCTGACCTCTAATACTTCCCTGGAAGATCTCATTTATCTTGAATTATAGCACAAAGAGCTTTCCCTTGATTTTCAGTGTTCCTCTTTAGTAAAAGTGATTACCTTATGTATGTGAAAATCACAGGGGTTTAACAAGACAGAATTAAAGTGAAAGCAGTTTCATCACATAGACAGCCAGGATCTTGATGAAAGACTGGAAACAGAGCTGCTAAGAAGAGAAAACTTAAAAGTGTAAAATAAGCAAATGGACATTTTAAAGAGAGCTGAAATCCTTCCCCAAACTGTTGTTCAGATGTTGGCTGCCAGGCTGACTGAGGGGGCTGAGAACTGGCACACACATGGGAAATTTTCCAAGATTAACCTCAGTCTTCTGTTAAAACTGATCTCACCCTCCTTCCAATTTCAGTGCTCATTATTTAGCTTCAAATGGAGATATAAGCTTATGCCAGACATGATCAAAAAAACAAAGCCTTTTGCCACCCTTTTAATTCTAACTGAGGTTGGAATTAAAAAAAAATATGCAGGAGATGGGATGGGAACTCAAAAACCTTTGTCTCAGTTTTCTTGTTTGCTTGTTTATGAAGGTAAAAATTGTCAGCAGGTGCAGTTGGTGCTACTGATGACATTGAAAATCTGACAAAAACTATGTTTCATGGAACACAGTGCCCTCTGGATACAGGGATGATATTCTATTTTATATTATGTAGCTTGTCTTGCTTGAACTTAACCTTCTGCTCCTCCGTGGTTTGGTTTGCCTGAGGTTTTCCCTGTGTTCCTTCCTGTTCAAGGTATCTGATATTCCAGAGCAACTAAAAAAGCTTAGCTACTTGCATCTCTCCACTGAATTCCTTCTTGAAAATATAATAATTTATTTTTAAATTAGAAATCACAGTTCACACAGCTGCAGAGAAAAGGAAAATTCCGTTCTACAAGTGGTGAAGAGTCAAATAAGGTTTTCCTCTCAAATGAAGCTGGAAGCTTTTGTGGAACGTGCAGTTTGTAGGCAAAGGCACTGGGGATAAGAAGTGAAGAGCTGCTCTCTGCATGCCTGAGAAAACTGGATTATTTGAATGCAAAGATAACAAACATTTATCTTGGTAAGTGGCATGGGACAGAATTAAGCGCTGTTGGATAACTACCTCCGAGAATAAAGAGCATGTAGAGATGCTCCTTTATTTTTTTTCCTTTTAATTATATGCTGTAGGTCATTAAATCTTCTTATCATACTCCTACACATTCAGTTCCTAATGTAACTTGAATGTAATTGCGTGTTTTACCAAACCAGATTGGAAGTTAGTCTTTCTTTAGCAAATTTTTATTGCAGGAGCAGAGGAACCAGACAATATGGTTTGGGGGTATAATTTGCATGCATTATATCAGATGCCATTCTGTTTCCTGAGGAAAAAAAAAATAATAAAAAAGACAGAAATTGGACCCAGACACTGCTACTGCTCTGTCACTATCATATTTCTTCACTGTATTCTGCCACGAGCATATATAAGGCAAAATTCATCATATGCTGTACACATAAACTTATAATGCTGTTCTTGTAAAGTACTTCAACTATTGACATATTTCTGAATCCTAGGGCCAGAACTGATTTAATTTCCTGCATTAGACGAGTGTTGGCATCAGCTTTCGACCAAAAAAAAGGAGTCCTGAATTTTCATCTTTGAAAGCAATGATCATTAAGTGATAAGGCATGTGGCTTCCTAGCCTGGAAAATTTGAAAAATTCAGTCCACAAAGCTCAGAATCTTCTGGTTATGTCTTATTTCAAGTTATCCAAAAATTGAGAAAGGGCACTAACTCCAGATTTTAGTCTGTTGTTTGAAATTCCCCTTCCCACTCCTAGCCTGGTTAATGTGCAGTTAGATTAAAATGAAGGGAGAGGAATCTCTCAGCTGCCATACCATTAAAAAGAAAATTGCAACAAAGATGGTTCAGATGAAAAAAGAAGAAGAAAAAAATAGGTGTACCAGATGGTTCTGTATGTATATATATCTATATAAAAGTATTCAGGCGCTCTACAAAGTTCATAGTCATTGGTTCCACAAATGATACCATGTAAGGATGTAATTTGAAATTAATCTTATAAGAATTTTTGGAAGGAGAATACAATGTTTTGGAATCTCAGCTGGTTTTTGGGGAATTAAGGTGATGGTTTATGATGCATGCAGGTAGAAAGGATTACAGTTTTCCTGGCCAGGGAATAGTGGCTGCTGTGGTGAACCTCCAGCTCAGCCATACAGGCTCGGAGAGTGGGTCAGGATGCAAAACTGGAAAGGGAAAAACAGAAATGAAGGAGTAATACTCAAAAGGGCTTGTCTGTCCTTAAACACACTGAAAGAATAAAAGCAGATACATTTGAAGGAAAAAATCAACTGCCAAACATGATGGTGCTGGTGAGATAAATTGGCTGGTTTTAAATCAGGAATACAGCCCAGAAGGGGGACAAAGCCATTAAAGATAGATGATAAAGAAAATAAGTAAGAAAAAAAAAATGAGCTCTACAATGAAAATTGTTAATTTTTGTCCCTCCAAAATCTAAAAATTATCTTAAAAAGACAAAGAGTGAAAACCAAGTTTACAGCACAGTCACATTGGGTTTAATCTAAAAGACTATGATGAAATGAAGAGGAAAATCAAGGGAAAATACTAAGAAACAACAGAGCAAGTGAGAAATGGAAAAGAAAACACAGAAGGACACACTGCTTGGGAGAAGGAGAAAAAAAATGAGGATGCTGAAAAAAGCCAAGTGTACTCAGGACCCTCTTAGTAGCTTAGGGTTTTTTTAAAAATCAGAATAAGGAAAACACAGATCAAAGCATATGCGGTTAAACTCATTCAGGTCAGAGGATCTGGTGATATTTATTTTGATACAATTTCTGAATTATTGATGATCATATGTGAGAAGTAATGGGAAGTGAATGAGCCTAGAGAATTGAAAATGGGCATAGACACACTTTGTCTTCAAAAATGATTAAAAAGAGGACAAACTGTCCTAAGTTTAATACCCAGGGAGATAGCTCAAAAAGTGACTATAAAATTGATGTGTAAATACTTTGGGGATTAGAGTATGGATCTATCCAATGCCATGTGATATCAAGCCAATTTCATCTCTTTCTTTGAAAAGGTCATTTAATCTACCATAAAACTAACACAACAACTGTAATGCAATTTGAATTTTGTTGGGCTCCCACATGAGATTTACATGAAGTGGTTGTAAATAAACCCACTTTGAATTCATAGCTAATATAGTTGAAAAATATTTTGGGAAGAAAAAAAACAACATAAAAAAAACCCAACAAGCCCTGTTGTGAATATTAGCAGCTAATCTTAGGAGAATTCCTCACCATTTAGTCAAATCCAAAGTGTTTGAGATGTTATAAAATAATGTCAATATAGTTTTTTGTCTTTATATATATATATTAAAACATATTATTCTATTCTTGAATGTCCTCTTTACTTAAAATATGGGTTGCATCTTAGCTGGTTTTGTTTTCTCTCTACACATAGTGTGTAAATACAAAATAAGATCTGTCTGCCCTGGGGAAAGTGTTACTTTTCTCCATTGTCTCTTTCTGGCCTTCACTAAAGCAATCTTGGTGCAGGCAGGATGATTATACAGCTTAATGTTCAATTTTACAGGGAGCTTTTGGAATTGTGCGCATTCCAAATGTCTTCCACCTGACCTGAAACACCACATTTTCACTATTTTCGCGTGAATTTTCTCCTACTAAGTTCTTAGTTGCACTGAATGTTATTTATCCTGTATCCTACCATGATCACAGGTACCTTTCGTGGAAATAAATGAGTGTTTGCATTTCCCCCTCACTCCCACACAAATTCCCTTTACTCTTTCCCATTTCCCATCAGCTCTGATCTGACAGGTGGGTGCCCCTCAGCCACATTCCCCCACCATCTAAAACACAGACTTGTCTCCATCCAGATGCATTGCCTGAGATTTTTGAGGATTGTTTTGTTTTCCAGTGGGGAGCTGATAATCTGATAACTCTCAAGACTAATTAATTCTTAGTAATCTCATTCTTGGACATTTCCAGTCCCTGCTGAAGTAGCTCAGTTATCTTTTGCTTCCTAGACAGCAAAACTAAGAATGAAGCATCAGCTTTCTTCTGTTCCATCATCTTCTTCATCGAAAGGGATTCAAAACCTTGAGTCTCACATCTTCCAGGCTAAATACAGTTTGTGTCTAAATTAGCAAGTAATTCATGCAACACGACCATATAAAGAGCATATCAGCTCATTTCAGTAGCCCTAAATGGTCTTTAATGTTTATTTCAATCAAAACCATCCTGTGGTTCTGTTTCTTGTTATTTATTCTACTATTTCATCATTCCCTATAACAAAGTTAGTTCTTCTCAAAAATACTTTTCTTTTTTGATCAGTATACACTTGTCTTTGAGGTTAAGCCCTCAAAAAATTAAAACTTCAATGTCTAAGGAAAACATTAGTCTTGAGGAAAAATAAAACTAAAGGATATGAAGCAACAAAATATCATTGTCTTTTGAAAATTTCTACTTGGAATTTAGTTTATTTTACATACCAAAATAGTGCTCTGTACCAAAATTCAGCTTTTATTTTCTTTCCTATTTAGCCATGCATTGAAACCAGGAGCTGACAGATGGGGATTAAAAGCATGTATCCTTTGGACCATCATTAGTGCTCATGTCTGCATGATGAGAACCTCAGATCCTTTCCTCAGAAAGCCAAACATTTTGAACATAAATTTTAACACTTGCACTCTAATATTTACTTCGAATGCTAGCATCACTAAGAACCCAGAGATGTTATTAATAAAGAACTGCTCATGAATAATTTTTTTTTCCCCAATTATTCCACTCTGCTTGAAAAACATCAAAGTAGATTTGAGCTGGAATTTTCATTTACAGGGGCTCAAAACATGTAAAAATACTCATGCATCACAGTAAGTGGTGCTTCCTCTGACAAGTGGACTATTTCCAGTAACAAGAAGTCAGATTTTGTCACATAAATATATAGTAAAGCAAGGATACAGAAAATATGTTGGCAATAGCAATATTTAATCAGCAAATAGTTCAGCTCCAGCTGAAGATGTAAAATGCATAGCAGCCTTTCCAATATAAAATTCCTGCTTGTCCTATGCCTATAAAACTATCTTTGAGGCCACCAGCTCCAAATGTGTTTTTCTATTAGTTTTGCCAAAATTTTATTTAAAACACATTCTTTCTCCTTCATTCTTGAGCCTTCTCCTCCTGCCACATGATTCTCCACCAAAAGAAAAAAAAATATAATGCGAATTTTCTTCTGATTTTCTTTGCAGAGCCAAAGAAAAAAAAAAGTTCATTTTCATGGCTCCTGTCCATATTGTACATTAAATTGCGAAATGCTTTTATTTTTACAGTGAAAGCTGGATTTCACCCTAGAGAGTCCAGCTATTCATGTTCCAATTTCTCTTCACAAGGGAATAAATCCATTGATTTCATTTATGACAATTTTTGAGGTTTTCTTTCCCTGGCTTCTAAGACAGTTTTAAAGGACAATTGAAAAGAAATACATCTGGGGAAAGAGCAGCTGGCAAATATCCCTGGCTGAAGATAATCAAATGCCTGTTACTCTGACAGAAGAATTTTCATTTATTCTTGAAAAGTTAAAACAGCACCACAAATCTGGAGGGAAGACCTGTTTACATCTTAGTAGTCCCCGGAGTTGTTAAAAATGTGTTGTTAGCTAAGAAATGTCTGTAAATTAATTGCTATAATTCACTGAGTATTCTGTGTACTGATTGTAGAAAATGGCTAGAAGAGAGGCAAACTTTTCTTTTACTTCTAGAAAAAATATTCTTTTAATAGTGACATTTATTATAAAAACCACATCAATAAATAGTTTTGAATTCCACTTTAAAAATCATTATCACTTATATTTACTCTGAACATTCACAGATTGAAAAGAAATAGTATCCCTTTCGAAATCAATGGATATTTGAGCCTAAAATGAATGATTTGGTGAGGTATATTGTTACTGGGCAATATTTTCATTAAGAAGCTCTCTATAGTCAACAGCTATCATGCAGCAAATATTTTTAATACCTTTACTTG